AACACTATACAATATAATTTCAAGAATAATATTGTTTTAAATTTTGTTTTGTTAACTTTTACAATCTCCTAAAATAGTTTTTTTTAATTTCAAGCATTTTATAAACTTTTTTTTATGTTATAAGCATTTTTCTCCCTATTAATTTTTTCCGCATTCCCAATCTCCTTTTCTTGTACAGTGAACTTTTTCTGATCTGGAATGTTGTGTATTGCAAAAAACTTTAACTTTCAGTCTATTTCTGTGAATTCATCTAGCCAATAAATGTAGTGTAATCTGGAATGTTGCCTAATCCAGCCAATAAATGTATGGAAGCAATGGTGTCTGGATTAAACAAGTTTTACTGTGTATATAAACACTTACCGTCTCCTCCAGCTGTGCCTCCTCCCCCCACACATTGGCCACCAGTAGGGTATTACAGTTCCCCCCAATGGAGTCCTTCAGGCAGTGGGTCAGTTTAGACTGTCTGAAAGGAATGTGTTCCCTCCTCCTGTCTGCTAATGCCACAATCACTTGTTCCAAAAATGTCAGGGACTTGTTGATGTACATTGCTTCTTGTTGTGTCTTACCCTCTGACTGTAAAATTAATTAAAAATATTCAATAGTTTACATGGTCAAAACTCATTATCTCAATTCAATGGGACAGTGAAAAACTTTGAAATATCCAAGAATTTGAGATATTGAAGGTAAAATACTTCGAGACTAAACAGTTGTGACTTCCAAATCACATGGACAAATCCATGGTATTTGAGATATTGATGTTAGAGATATGGAAGTGAGTTATTGGTACATCAATTAATATTCAAATTCATTAAACTGATTGTTTTTTCTTTTCCTAACAATATCACTTTTTGAATAAATAAATTGTTTTATATGATTTATAAATCTTAATAACTACCTTTGTTTTCCCCAAACGTTCAGACCCCGCCAGATCCACAAAGTTCAATTTAGAAATGGTGTATCTAGCATTGGACTGTACTCTGGATCTTGTCTGTAAAAAAATAATAAATAAGTTCATACTAATAATAAGTTCATAAAAAAGGTGTCAAATGCCAAAAAGTAGTCTTCTGCTTTATTATGTTCTATCTCATAGCCAATATGGTGAACATACCTCTAGATATACAGTAAAAATACAGTGAGATCTGGAGGACTGCTTGTTCAGTGAGTGAGCTGCAATTGCACGATTTGTCTCTCCCTGAAACCAAAACAAGAATGATTATACAATTGCATGGTAAAATACTCTTTACAACACTTATCGTAAAAGAAATAATCACAAATGAACAGGAATCTTGAAAACCCAAAACTCTGTCCCTTATAAGCTTGACCCAAAAATCTGTCCCTAAAACTCTGACCCAAAACTGTCCCTGACCTCAAAAAGCAGGTTGAGGGCCTCCTCTTCAGACTGGGCCAAATGACAAGAGAGACCCTTGACGTATACTCCATCTTGATTCTCAACCACCACCATGTTCTGGTCTTGACCATCTTCTCTGTTTTGCCACGTCTCGGGCAATGTCGACAACAAGTCTGACATTGTTTCATTGTAAATCTCCAAGTAGGACACTCTGCAAAGTTTGATTGAAATAATTGATAGAACTGTATAATACAGATTCAAAAATTTAATACAATACTTTTGATCACTTTAGATTCATATTACAAAAAATATTTTGACTGCCAAAAATTGATATATTTTATCTTTTTTTTAATCTTTAGCAAATTAAAAGAAGTGAAAAATCACACATCCTTATATATTGTTATTACAAATATGAAGAATTTTGACAAAAGAGCAATCAAACCTATCATAAATAATCGACTTACCTTACAGTAATTGCATATTCTGGTCTTTCCTCTATTTCCTTGAACAACTGAGACAATGCCCTTGGTACTAGGCCTCTCTGCTTGTAACTCTCTGTGGCACCTGTTATTGTATATGTTTTTCCAGCTCCAGTCTGACCGTATGCCATCATTGTTCCTACAAGGCATGAATCAAAATACATTTCAACATATATATACTATATTTATCATTAGCCATTGAGATTTGTATAAGATGGTAAATCTACACAAAAATGCAATCTTTTTATTCCCTATTTAAACAAATAGATAAAAGACAGAGAGAGGTGATAGCTTACCATTATAGCCATCCAGGGCTGAGGTTACAATATCTGCACCTACTGTTTCGAATACTTGATCTTGGGATGCATTGTGAAAAATTCCATCCAGCCGAAATGACCAGTCCAGAATTTGATTGTTTACAACCCCTCTTCTTGTATCTTTTCTTTGATGAACATTAATACTCTGAAAATAAATATTAATATCAAGGTAAAAAAAAACCATTAAAATTTTTTGTTTGTTTTTAATGAGAGCAAAAACAAACTCTCTGCTGAAAATAACAAATACTGAGCATATATCTTTATTTTCTGATTTATACTTTTAATATATATATATCACAAATTGAGGTAAATAATCAGTTTGTATTTATCTCTTTCTAGGCTCATACTTTTCCATCTGGCAATAACTCCAAATTATCATAAGCAAACTCCGATGTTGGCCGTACTCTGGCCCAAACTTGGACTCTCTTATTTTTCTGTCCCGGTTTTCTTGCCTGAGAACCACCAGACAGATTGGAACCATAGCTCATGGAGCTGAGTCCTGTGGTATTTCCACGGCTGTACATTTCTTAAACAGTCTAAAAGTAAAACAAATTGTTATTAAAATGTTTTTAAAAATACTATAAATAAAAAACAACACACTTCTTTTTTTACCAGATGTTTAATGTCAATAATGTGATAGCATTTTATGTGCATAGTTAGGATTTTTAATTATTTATGTTCTTAGATTGTTGAAGAACTTCAAACGCCGGAATTCTCATGCAACTCACTATCTTCTTTGACTTATGCTTGTCCAAAAAATAAGGCAATTTATGATCGATTTTCTTGTTTATATCAAGCATATGTCTTGTGTTTTTTTATGACGGAAACTTAATTTTAATCTTCTTTAACTTGCCAAAATAGGTCTTACCAAAAGTATTCCCAAAATTACATCAGAATAGAACAAATAAATTAGGTATTCCTTGAAACCATATCTTTCCCAGCAAAACCGCACTGTTGACTGTTGTTAAGAGAATTGCGCATGCGCAGTAAGTTATGATTTTCTGTAAATTCGTGCCCGACTATAATAATGGGATCCCTGAATAATGCATCAAAACTTAATCGACATAGAATATATATGGTAAATATATACAAAGAATAAATTAAGTTACAAAAAATATTTTTGAAACCTTGATGGATTTGTAAATCCAAAATGTGTAATTTACAGAAAAGTCCTGGGGCATACATCTGAAGTATGGATAATACCCCCCCTTTTTTTTAATGGAAAAAATGTAAGAGTGTAAAATATCTCAAAAATATAAAATTTCTCCGTCAAACACATCTATATGTCGTTAGATGCTAGCAGATTGTACTTTTTCTCACGGGCCCTATTCGGTATAATAAAAATATTCTTATTATACCGAATAGGGCCCTTCTTTAAACTTGAGAAAAAGTGCAACCTGCATGCATGTAACGACATATAGATGTGTTTGATGGGGAAATTTTATATTTTTTTAGATATTTTACACTCTTACATTTTTTTTTCCATTAAAAAAAGGGGGGGGGGGGTATTATCCATACTTCAGGTGCCTGAGATTTCTATAAAGGAAGAAGAGAAATGGAAAATCTTTTTTAATTTTGGTTAACTGAACTTGCCAAAAATGCGCCATATGGTCATTTGTTTAGGAAAAACTCTCTATAAATCATTTAGTGAACACAATTAAATTTCCCCTGTTTTAAAGTTGTTTCGCTTCTAATTTAAATACAAACCAAGTGAATAAAATTACCGTCATGTTTGTTGTAAATTTTGAATTTACTAGGGGGAGAAAATGCGAAATTTACAACGTTTTGCATTAATCTTCCCCTAGTAAATTCAAAATTTACAACATGATAATACTACCCAAGTTATGTGTACAACATGGTAATACCACTCAAGTTATGTGTACTCCTTTCATTGTTTTAAATTCATAATACCCCCCTTCCGAAAAAGGAGGGGTAAATTATATCGTAGAATATAACTCAGTGCTCCTTGATAATTTATTCACTATAAGTTATTTGAAAGGCTTCGTATATGTGTATTTGATTACATGCAATATTATATCTTCATCTACTCATTTACTTCTTTGAAACATCTCAGTATCCTCTAACCTTCACTGAATGAATTCCGCTGGAAAAAAAGTATCAATGACCCAATTTTATATTTGTTAAATTAATTTTTTTTTCTTTTATCCTTACGAATATGACCATTCACTTTTTTTTTTTTTACAAGATTCTAACCTATCATTGCATTATACCAATATAACTTAGTGCGCACCTAAAACTGATTATAGCAGTTCTTAACCCTTAATCTTACACGGCTTCAAAGATTGATGAAGTGAAAATTTATAATTTTTATATAGTTGAAAGACAAGTTATAAATGAAATTAATCCCCGAAAAATTATTTTTAAAAAGATTAACAGTTACGTGTTGTCTACCAAATGAAATTTCTTGTTTCCATGTGAAATATGTGTAAATGCTGCACTTTTTTCAATGCAATTTTTTTTTCCATGCAAGTGTTTTTTCCAAATGAATTTTATTCTCCTTAAATTTTTCAGAAATAAATGAATAATTTACAAAATAGTACCCTGTCATCGATAGTGTTACTCTATTTCTAATTGATAAATCTTTAACCCCCCCCCCCCTTTCCCTTTTGCTGAGCTGCGGAAATTGGAAGACTGTCCAATCAAATTCAGTGTACTATTCATAGCTCAATCCATCTAATTTTCCAAATAATTGACGTTATATATTAAATTTGATACCACAACCCCTAAAATATTTCATTTATATTTATTTCTCGATAAAATAAAATAGAATTCATGCTATAAATCGTCATGGAATTCTAAATTTCGCAAACCACCGTCAATGTTGATATGACGTAACTGACCCACAATTCCGTTCGGTTCCATTTGCGGATACCGTCTCGACCGAAGCTGATATTTGTGTATTTTCGTATTGTGCGTCGTTTTTCGATGGAAAAAAGCAACCAGTGATTGCAGACTTGTAAACAGTAACTTTAAAATTTTATTCCAACATTTATTTCTTAACCAGGAGTGAATCCAATGGCTGGTTTTTGGGACGGAGGCTTAAGGCAATGGCATGAAGATACCCATTGCCTCTTTCTGTATTAAACAGCATGCTTTCACAGGTAAAATGTCAAACACAGTAAGAAAGGTAAAGGAAAGAAACTCTACTTCGACGAATTGTTCTTAAAATGTGCTCGTTTATACTCCAAACAAAATGTCAAATTTAAAGGTTGCATCCATTGCTGTATCCATAGTGTAAATCTAGGAAGATAGATTTGATAAGTATGAAGAAATGTTTATTGCTGTTACGCATTTGCAAACTTTAGAGCAATAAATTAATTTCAGTAAATTTGATTTGTTCACTGTGATAATCGTGCCAGATATGTGGGGCTATTATTCCAAGAATCGTACCCCATTTGGGCCATTGTGCATTATGGTTAATATTTAGATTTGTGCTTGTTCTGTTATGAACCACAAATACACAGAAGAATGTTGCTCTCAATATTTGATAGTACACAGAAGATATAATGCTCAAGGCATATTGATGAGTTGAAAGGAAAAATCACAGAAAATATGTAAATTATGTTTATTGCGGGAGGTAACTCTTCTAGTGGCAACGTTAAAACAACAACACAGTTTGATGTTGATTCACAGAATATAACCTAGGCCTGTTCAACAGAGCGAGCGCTTGTGAACATTTCTATTGGAGGTGAAAGGAATTCTTACAAGCGCTCGCGGATGTTCGCTATGTTGAACAGGCTTCTGATTTTAAACAGACTGACAATTGAATATATTATTGTTTAGTGAAATCCAAACCTGTAACAACCTTGTGTATTAAAGAATTTCAAACAACATCGTAAAAATTGTTGAATGTCTGTGCTGGTTTCTTCTAGGATAGTCATTCAGTTATTAAAATAAGATCAGATGAACACTATGCATTTTGATTATTTACAGAAAGTTATTTCCAAAAGAAGAAGTAAATCTAAGTTGTCTGATGGGACAAGGGCCTCTTCTGATACATCAAGAATAGTCAAACAGGTAAGCATTGTATACTTATATACTAATAAACAGTTATTCGTTTAGTGTGAAACTTCAATGAGATGAGCTTCTTTAGATTCCTTATTTTTCACGAGTAATTATTATCGCAAATGGGCTATTTAACGTCAAATCGTGAGAATAATAATTCGCTAATGGTTGATTGATCATGAGATTTTACAAAGATTTCAGCACAATAAGAATAAAGGCGGGTAATTTTATTTTGCATGTGGTGCTTATCGCGAAATTATGCGATAATTAATTCCTTGCATATATTTAGGATCCTACAGTACCTAATCTTTGATTACTTGTACCTATGTTACAGTTCTTTTTTGGAAATACATTATGATTTTGAAGTTATTTACTTATTATTTTACAACATTATTACCTCTTTAATTTTATTAGATTTCAAACAGTACAGAGTTGGACTACGTTCTTAATTTATTTCCAGATGTTTACTCAAAGGTCAATTTGATCCCTTGAAATAAATTTTTTGGAGTCAAAGAATTATTTGTAAACACCGACACTTTATTTATTGAGTTATTCTTAATTTCAAACGCGTGAACTGTCATGGCTGCTGAGTAGAGCGACAGGTAAACACGCAGATTTTTCTGTTTTTCACATTTAACAAGCTATGTTGTTGACAATGAATAAAAATTTCGTCTTTTTAGAAGTAAGTTGAATGTGAAAACAATTTATTTTGCCCGAAGTGGCCCGTATTTAAAAAACATTTGCACCATTAGGCCATAATAAAAACAATTCCTAGATTCTCATCCAAATTTTTTTAAAAATCGAGGCGTGAGCAGCTTTTATTTTATATATTTTTCCATTTTGCAGAATTTTTATTCACCTGTTCATTTGGTGCAGATTTATCTATAATACCCTAATAAAAGTCATGATAGAGGTCCTTTTATCTCTTACTACACATCATCACCAATCTTTCAGAACCAATGACCCTAGTTTAACATGTATTATAGCAATTACCATCTTTTCAGCCGTCAAAATCATGCCGACATTCACGGGATTTAAAACGAAAGTTGAATGGTTGTTGAATACCGATCCCGATCAGAATTAAGACAAAAGAAAAACAGAAATTAAAAAAATTGAGGCGGGCGTGAAAAAAATCGGGGCAGGCGGGGATGAGAATCTAGGAATATATTTATTATGGCCTTACGAAGATGTTATGGAATTGTAGCCCTCTCCAGAAAACATCAGATTAAAAAAAAAATTGGAGAGGGCTACATTATTGCAGCTACAAGTACCCGGTTAACCAGGTACTCGATCGAACAGCTGAGTATTGAATACTGATATGGCTACTTGGTTACTGGGATGTACTGTCATAATTCAATGGAATCTTTTATTTCAATCCGCTGTAGAAAATTACGCAGATTTCTGAAGACCTCATTATATGCCTTATATGTGTATTAAGTTTGATGGAACAAATTTCCACGGAAAGTTTGTGACTGCATACATAACGTAAATTTATACAGCACAGAAAAAAGTACTTCTACAGTATTTTAATATGGTGGTTGCTTTCCCTGTATCTGCTATGTTTACTCTTAACAGCTAATTAAAAAAAATTCTTCAGTTCTTTTCAAAGCAACATTCGGAGTTGGCAAAGCCGAAAGACACGGGCCAGCTGTCGATCTCCGGTAAATAACTTATGAATCCGATAGTTTCTAGAAGCAGGCTGGCACCGTGTCCGGTAGATATTTTTTTTAAAAAATGCTTAAATATTTTCAAAACTACTTCACAGTAAATGAAAAACGCGAAGTTTTGTGTTTAGTATATTGATAAAAAAAATTAATTTTGTGCAAATCTAATGTGAAGATTATTTTGACCCCGTCTTTCAGTGAGTGAGTGTCTCAGTACTTTGATTGCTTTTTCCCCATGTTAAATGAAAACAGATATAAGTTAATATTGACATTGCCTGATCACGTTGTGTCAGCGCAGTTGGCTAACTGAGTGTTTTATGGCTCAGGAACTTTTAGGGATCATGTTGTAATAGTCAGATTCAGCGTTTACTTGAAGGAGTTTCCTGTAACAGACTTTGCCTTTATGAACTAATATGTCCGACGGTGAAACCATTAGTGCGAGCACAGTTTACTTTTACAACTCTGCATATCTCAAATGTTGTATTTGCATTTGTTTATGACGATATTGAAATAAGTGTTTTCAAATGGACTCCACATGCATCGGGATCAAGATTCCTAACTTCTTGACTTTTTCCAACTAAGTCTGAAATACCAAAACCCCTTTGGAATGACAAAAATATGACGTCATATACAAAGTCTATTTCCTCCATTCATAAACATTGTCTATTTTACCAATTTACCACTCTGCCGATTGAATCGGTGGATTTCAAAAACTCTGGGATACACTGGTCAAGTGGTAATATCGCATGTACAGCACAAAAAAATATATATATATATTTAGAAAAAATACTGATGGAGTTAAACTAGGCTTAACTGGCCCCAATAAAATTAACACCCTTGTAATTTTAGGTCACCTATAAGAAAACTCAGGTGACCTATTGCTACCATATCTGTTTTTGTCCATCATCGTACGTTGTTTGTTAACATTTAAATATTTTCAGCTTCTTCTCTGCAACCACTCAATCAATTATAACCAACTTTGGCATAAAACATCTATGGGTAAAGCAGAACAAAAATTTTGAATTTCATAGTACCCCACCCCCACCCCCCTTTAGGACCTGAGGGATGGGGCCAAAACTAGTTAAAATTGGACATCAATCAGTCAAATTGTTGGCATGACTTTAATATAAACTGAGTCCTCTACCAAAATAATGAAATTCATGGCCCCAGTTCAGGGGTTTTAGTGCTTGGGGGGGGGGGGGGGGCTATAAAGATTATATAGTATAAATGCATTATTTCTTTGAAGATCTTCCTCTTTGCTTCTGGGTATTTACAAACAAATTCATTGTATAGTTATGATAAGGAAGGGTGTCTCTTCCAAAATTGTAAATTTCGTGGCCCCAGGGTCAGGGGTTCTTCTGTTCTAGTGATAGGGTAAAGCTATATAAATTGTGTAATGAAAATGCATAATTCTTTAAAAATCCTCTTCTCTGCACCTGTGTATTAAACAAACTAACTACATACATAGTTATGATGAGCAGAGGGGGGGGTCTCTTTTGAAGTTGTGAATTTCATGGCCTGCAGGGTCAGGGGTTCTGGTGTGAGGGCGGGGCTATATAAATTACACAATGAAAATGTATTACCCCGGTCTTTGAAAATCTTCTCTGCTCCTGGGTTAACCAAACTAACAATATATAGTTAGGGTGAGGAAGAATATGAAAAATATTCTTCTATGAAAAATATAAATTGGTATTATAAGTTTCAATTTTCATGCCAAAACAATTAGAACATTTTCATATGAGGTCAATCATTAATTCAGTTCATCCTTATGATTACTGGTATATATTGGTTAATGCATAGATATGACAAAAATGACTTGTAATTAAAATCTTGGCAACCAGAAACAAAATGCCAGACTCTGTAAACATGGCTAATATCTTCATTGTTTTGTCAAAAAACATGGACCAAAAACCGTGTTAGATCTTTCTGACAATTGCGTTTTTGCACGATTGGATTTCTAAAACTTTCCTTTTTGAATAGTAGGCATGTGCATAGCCTACACGTTTTTGAAAAACCCAGGCCTTTACATGCAGACATTGCCCCATGTGAGTCAGAGTTGGGATCTGCCAATGATACAGAGGCAACAGATGAATCTAATTGATAAAATCATTGTTACAACAGCTCTCCCAAGTCATGCATAATTGATACTGCACATGAAAATAATGTGTACCATCAGTCATAATCAGGCACTGTTGTTCTCATTACATACAGCAATTAACGGGGAGAAGATAAGTGTAAAATACATGGGGCCCGTTAATGATGACCAGCTGTGTGGAAGGTCATCATGAAACCACCTCACCAAACAGTTAACTGCAAAGTAAAGCACGAAACTTTGAATAATATTATATACTTTTCTAAGAAATGGGTTTTTGATCATTATTGATAAAAAATGGAATTGGTATTTTTGCAGAAGTCAGTTTTGACTGTTTTATTAAACTTCAATGCATTTTGCACAGAAGCTCATGCCAAAAAGTAAGTTAACAATTTGAAAGGGATCCAGTAAAAATAAGGTTTTAAATGGTTTTTAAATGAGAAGCAATATGACTGTATAGATAGAACTAATTTGATGTATCCCAATAGGGATGGGTTTCACCATAACATTCTTATCGCAATATGTCATGATTTTTTCCCCCAAATGTTACAATAATATCATGATTTTACATAATGAATGAATCCTATGGATTCTTTTACATATATAATTGTCGCCCATGTGGCACAGTGGTTAGAACAGTTGTTCAGAGATCTGGAAGTAAAGAGCTGATCATGATGTCTATGGTTCGAATTCAATCTGTGACACAGAAATCGGTCCTTTAGATGACACAATAGATTGAGATCCTGTGACAGAAGATGCTTAAAAAAGATCCCTCACTGCTTAGAGGCCGTAAATGCTGAGTGCAAGTCTAAATTTGCAGCCCTTAATCTGGAAGTGCTGGCCTCTAAATATGATTGAAAAATCTTGAAGCGATGTTAAACGAAAAGCACACAAACATACAAATCTGTCAACAGATATTTTGCACACAGAGTGTTAAGCCATTTATTCCACATTGAATTGTCTGCATATTTTTTGGTCTGCCCAGTCATGACAAGGAATACATAGCAGATCATGTTGGGTGTGACCTGCTGACAGGGGATACTTACTCATCCATGGCACCTGATCCCACCTCTATTTTTAGAGGTCAAAGTTTGCTCTTCCTCCGACTTTTATTACTGTTAATTATCTTCATATTTGATTGAAACTTTAAAAAAATAATATAGAATTGGAGATTAATGCTACTTTCAGAATGAGAAAATTTTTTAGACTTGTAAATAACATGTATTGAATATCTGATAACTCTTGTCTTTTAGATC